ATATTGAGTTATTAATTCTCAATGCTTTGGGATATCAGCCATATTGAGTTATTAATTCTTAATGCTTTGGGATATCCGGATATGTTATCAATCATGATGTGGTGGTTGGTTTTTTAATCTCGAAAACTTAGGCATTTCCTCACGAAGGAACAATCTAGTTGATTCCCACATCTCTTTAGAGAATCTATGTGGTGGTTGTTTTTTATTTTTTTTCTATAAATTTGATTAAAATGAATTTCTGGGTGTACATACTTGCGTACCATATAAAAATATAAAAAATATTAGTTTCAATAATTTAAAATGTCCAAATTACCCCATCATTTTTCAAGGGTATTTCGATCATTTTATATTTTTGGAAATATGTTTTATATACTTTTTAATTGTGCACCCTTTTTTTTAGTACATACTTCTAGAATTTCATTATGGTCCGATTTTTAGAAAAAATATTAAAATTCATATAGTAATATGCATTATGAACCACATAATGAAAATCTGATGGCTGAGATTCCACCTATATTATCATTCTACCTGTATTACTATTCATTATTTCATGCAACTGTTGTATAATAATATGCTGCAACAACTTTAAAAAACCATCTTATGGCCATTTGTTTGATCCAAATTTTAAAATATACACCCTTTTCATTTTAATGAACAATCACAAAAAAATAAAATAAATTGAAAACACAACCTAAAAAGTATTTTTTTAGCTCGATTAACATAGGCCGTTCATTTTGGTGAGATACTTAGATCTAGGCCTTAGAAGGATTTTTTCATTTCTAATTTTTTTGGATAGCTTTATTATCATTAGATGAACAATATTAAAAAAGAAAAAAATAATTTTGAGTTTATAAAGGTTAAGATCTTGAAATTCACAAAAACCCTTGATCCCTCTTCCCCGTTGCAAATGAAATCGTGCACAATTATAGATAGGTGATAGGTGCCAGCATGGAAGGAAGGATGTGCGTTGACAAATTCTACCATGATAGGTGCCAGAATGGAAGGAAGGATGTGCTTTGAGAAAGTCTACCAACTGATGGTGCAGGACACTGCCCGATGGATCTTATCTTACAAGCACAGTGGAGAAGAGAGGCCACAAGTTGAACCTAGGAGGTTTGGAGGCTTTATGAAACAATGGGGTTTATTATGTTCCGCACCGTCAAATCCCTTGGATGGAGCTGCCCGCTTTACCGGGTCTATTTTATTAAATTTGTAGAGAACTCCCACTTCTTTCGGACAATCTTCAAAAATCATTTTTTCAATGGAACCAATATAAATATGTAGTTTATCTTTTTTTCAAAAGAACTTTTTAGGACAAAATTTCCTTATAACTTTATTTATTCATCAATTTAATATTATTAATTTTTTATCTAAAGATAAGTAAATTAGCAGTGGGATAAATTAAGAATCTTGATTTAACAAAAAATTCCATAAACAATTTCACCAATAGGCTCCCTTAAAAACGTGTATGAAAAAATACTAGCAATATGTTTCGCAAAAAATAAGATATCAAAACAATAATATATATCAAAGTAACAAGAAGAATTAGAAGAAGAGTAACGAAATGAAAAATCCCAGAGCATCATTATAAAGAATAAGATAGAAATTCAATGACAATAAAGATTTAGACAGCTAGAAATTCAGTGTGAGATTCAAATTTGCTTAACCATTTTATTGCTCTCTTTATGCATAGAGAAGTTTGATTAATTTCATATTTTTATTTTTATTGTTTTATTTCAATGGGCTATACAACAAAGCATTTTGGATGGACCACTGCTTTAGGTCTTTATATTTTGTTTTAGTTAACTACAATCCTATATTGTGGGCCCTTTTTATTTTTTTCTTTGAACAATAATCATATACCTTGATTTACAATCTTACTATTTACTAATGTAGCTATTGTGTTTAGTACTTTTGTATTGTTTCATTTATGCTCCCAATAAATCTATGATATATTTTACATTGCGACAATATAGTAAGCATTATTGTTCTATTTATTGAAAGTTTAGACAACAAGTCAAACATTGCTCTAATGACACTAGGTAATGCCATAAAATTATTGTCCAAGGTGGTGGTGCTAAAATCATGCGCTATTAGCAAAGTGGTGGTGGAGATCAATGGATGGTGAGCAAGCTCTTTGGAAAGAGATCATAAAGCATAAGTATAGGGAGAATAGATTTAGCTTGTGGGTGGGGAATAGATCAAATTCTAGATCCCCGTCGATGGCGTGGAGACGGATTGTGCAAAATAGAAGATTTGTCATCAGTTGTTTTAGATGGGAGGTGGGGGATGGTACACTGATTCATTTTTGGCATGGTACATGGATAGGGGATGCTCCGTTAAGGTATTCTTTTCCCTTAATATTTGATGTTTCTACTAACCCTAGGGCTAAAGTTGGTGATATGTATTGTAGAGAGAGTGGGGTATGGACCATTAACTGCTTGTATAATAGGGTTAGCGACGGCTTTGTAATGCAGATGATAGAACTTTAGAAAATTCTGATTAAGGTGAAGCTTTTTCAAGGATTTCAAGATGAATTGATCTGGGAGGTTAAAAGTGATGGGCTGTTTTCAGTGAAATCAGCATATAATCTTCTTTTTCATAACAGGATCAAGTGGAATCAAGTTTCATTGATGAGAATATGGTCTTGGAGGGTACCCCCAAAGGCTAAGATATTCCTTTGAGTGCTATTTCAAGGGAAGTATTTGACGATGGATAAGCTTGTGAAGAGAGGAAGGATCATCACTAATGTTTGCATGCTTTGTAAGGAGTGTTTTGAAAGCGGTGATCATTTATTCTTAAATTGCCTATTCACTAATGATATTTGGTATTGGTTTCTTAGCAAATTGGGTATAGTCAGCCCGTTACCCCAGAGCCATACTAATATTCTAAAGAGTTTGTCATTTGATAGGCTGCCTAAGGTGGAAAACATTATCTTTCAGATTGGAAGGGTGGTTGTGCTTTGGGAGATTTGATTGGAAAGGAATAGAAGAGTGTTTGAGGGGTTGGCATTGGAGCGTGATTTGGTGAAGACGAGGATACATCATACCATTTGGAGCTGGTTCTCTATTGCTAAAGAAGGCTTTGGGGTATCTAAGATTGATATGGATGTGAATGTTAGGTATCTAATGTCACAGAAGATCGTGAAGGTGACGCATAAAGGGCGATGGACAGCCTTAGTTTTGAGTAGCTTAAAATTGAATTATGATGGAAGTTCACTAGGCAATCCTGGGATAGTTGGAATAGGGGGCATGCTGAGGAATCACCTTGGTGAGTGTGCTTTTTGCTTTGTTGGTCCATGTGGAATCTTAACTGCTAATGAGATGGACTTACTTTCTGTGCTACAAGGTTTAAAAGTTATCAAAGATCGTGGAATTCAGGTAGGATGTGTGGTGGAATGTGATTCTTTGAGCATAGTTAATTGGTGTAATTGTGTTTCTATGCCACCTTGGAGATTAAGATCGGAATGGATAGAAGTTATGGATTTGTGTCATGGCATGAATCTGTCTTTTCAACATATCTATAGAGAAGGGAATGAGATTGCAGATGCTCTAGCCAAGAAAGGAGGACTACATAATGTGGTTATCTCTGATGTCCTTTATTTTATGTTATTTTTCTTCATAGTACTGTAATTCCTTTTTAATTAAGAAAGTTACGGAACATTGTCAAAAAAATAAAAAAAAAATTGTCCTAAGGGGTTTGATGTATCTATACAATAACTGCAATCCGTAATCCTATATAATGTCATATTTACATATCCAATTTTTCACTCCGATTTTTTGAGCCAAATACAAAATATTCACTATTTTATAATGGAAAAAGTTTATACAAGGTTGCAACATTAAAATGTAGAATTACAGATGCACCTCAAAACTCCATCGAAAAATATTCTTTTTAATGTTGAAAAAACCTCTAATTGATCATCTCGACATCGAGATGTAAGAATATGAAAAGAAAAAAATAATTTGATCCAAAAAATAGTGCATCTTGCAATACATTATCTAAACCGTCCATTTCAATATTTTCATATATTTATATATCCACTTGATTTTAACTATT